GTTCCCTTCTGACATGACCTTGATGACTGCTGTGTTTTTTTGGATTTTTTTTTTAAACTAACCCCAATATACAACCTCAGGGCTGGACTCTTGAGTTCATGGCCCCTTTTGAAGCTCATGTGGGGTTCAGTTCAGGCACACAATTAGGGCAAATATAGGTATTACACTTTTACCAGTATAAATGATCAGAAACCGGTCCATACCCATAATAGAACAGAAGTTCAGTGCACAGAGATTGGTTTAAAAATGGTGGAAGCCAGTCTCCATCAATGGGCAAATGTGTGTTGTGTTCGCTACTGATCTAAATGACGCCGCTTAAAGAAAACTGCCTAACTTAAATTGATTTTGCCTTGGGTTTTTTGAAGTTTGTACCTAGCCTAGGGGTATTCATAGATTAGATCAGGACTGGGCAAAGTCCCAGATCAGGGTTACAACAGACTCCATTTTCCAGCAGCCCCCGCCCCATTGCTATGGCCGGTTTCCATGGAGACCCCAGAAGCAGAGCAGCCATGACAGCGTGGGGCCAGGGTTTCAATGGAAACCAGCCCCAGCACCACTGGCAGAGCACATGGCAGGACGGGGAGCTGCTGCAGGGCCGAAATACTGCAGCAACAGCAGCTCTGCCCCAGTTCTGGACCACTCTGTCATCTGCCCAACTGTATGCCCTGCCAGCACTGCTGGGGCTGGTCTCCAAGGAAACCCTAGCCCCGCACTATCACAGCTGCACCACTGCTGGGGTCTCCATAGAAAGCAGCTGCAGCAACATGGGCAGGGGTGCTGGGAAATGGAGTCTGACCACTGGCCAGATTTCCCATTTAGCCCACCCCTGGATTAGATACATTACACCATACAGCTGGGTTTGTGGTTTAATGCTGTGCTGTAATCTGAAATGGCATCGAAAAACCCAGATAAACAAATGAGGCTGCAGCTTTGCTCTCTTGGACTTTACATCAAGGTTGGCAAACACTACCTGCAGGGCACCTGTAATGAATGGGTAAAACTAGTGCAGCACAAAAAGCTCCAAATTGTCCTCCTGACTGGTCTTTGTGAGCAAAACGGCTTTGGTGACCTATGCATTTTCAGGCTGGCCACCATGCACTGGGTCAGTTTGGCACCTCATTGGAGAGCCATTTAAGCCAATGATTTGTGCCTGGAGTTCAGTATAAAAATGGAAAATAAACACTCCTAGTCCATATTTTTTTTCTTCTAGTTACACGTTGCCTTTCCAGGTTTGCTAAGCAGCTAAACATGATGCATCATAAATACACATTCATTGCTCCCCTGTATGAACAAGAGAAAACAGATCCTGCTGTTTTGCAGCCTCCACAAGCACTGCAGGGTGATAAATGGCCTGGAGCACACGCTGTCCCACTGACAAGAAAAACAGCTGATTAACAAGCTCCATTTTTTTTGGAGAGGAGATAATCCAACTCCCTCCCCGAAGATGGGTCACACCCCATCTGACTTCTCCTTTCTTCTTCCTACCTCTAAGAACTGCTGAGGAGTCAATGTTTCTGAGGTACATCACAGATAAAGAAAAATGGTGCTTATTGAAGGGCTTCTCAGCTGCTTCCCCCCCACCTCCCCCCTCCTACATGTGCACACACACACGCACACCCACAACTCTAACTCACACTTATCTTCCTTTTTCCAGCACTATCTATGCAAAGCTTCAATAAGTCAGGGGACTAGTCAGATCAACCCAAAATAGTCATTATAACTGTAGCAGCTGGATCAGTTGGTGATGCCAGCAGCGCACTCACTTCCCAATAGCTATGATGATAGGAAAACAGTATTGACTCAGTATACAACTCAGTATGCAAAGCCAGTATGAAAGTTATAGGCTGATCTCTTCTGGCCCCCACATTCTGACCTAACGTTCAGCACAGGCTACAGCTTTCCAGCTCCTAATTCCTGCCTCAAACTCAATTATGCAATTAAACTAAGATAGAGTATACCTTTTAGCAAGACAGTCTATCTTGATGTAGAGTCACGTAAAGCAGAATCCACTGCATCATTCTCGTGGATAATTAATTACCAGCATGGCTAAAATTACACTACGCAAAAGCTCCCGGGGTTCTGTAATTTTCTTTTCAAGAAACCTACGTAACCCGGGCTAGCATGGCCAGCAACGTCAACAGACTTCCTAGAGAGATTCCAGGCAAGTGCATGGCATTACGAGATCTTAAGAGATTTGTGTATATTTTATGTTTATTACTATCAACCTCTGACTCTATCTGTATTCACTGTGCTATGATACTACCTGAGCCCTGTGAGAGACCAAAGGCTAAATGAACAAGCCAGCACTTATTTGAAAAGAATGAAGGAAAAAGTAAGTAAGAGGCAGTGATATCTGGGAACACAACTATTTTATTTTAAAAGAGCCAGTTTAAGGCAACACTCAAAATTAAATCTTAAATAAAGTTTGGCTAATGCTGTAGCTCCCAAACACTTTCATTTAATTCCCCAAAAGGTCTGGCTAGGCAGAAGTGCTGTAAAAGAAACCCTGAACCAAATTCACAAGTTACTCATTCCTCTACTGAAGTCAAAAACATCATGTTTCTACTGGGTGCTCTGGAAAGAACAGCACTGGGAAGGAACATTATCCTGTGATGCCATAGTCTACTCCACATGAAATGGTTTGCCACCAGATTCTGTTAGACTGCTCAGAAGAAAGAAGCACATGGCTCACTCCAGAGTGGCAAGGTGTGATACCTGTAGATGCTTTCTCAGGCAAGCAGGGCTCATAGTTGATGAGCATAGCTGAATCTCAAAATACAGCAGTTCTGTGATCAAGGATGAAAGAATTATGGTTTGTTTGGGTTGGGGTTGTTGGGTTTTTCTTTTTTTTGGGGGAGGGGGATTGGGGGGCAGGGGGAAGGTTGGTAAATAAATTATTTTTCAATCTTTCCCATCAGGGTCAGGTGGCTCCTTTTAAGGATCTAGTGTTGTTCACATTCCCATGTGAGCCAGAGCAATGCCAGGGTTTTAAAGACCTACAATCCTGTTATGGGTGCCACTACACTTACTTCTATTTACCCACCTAAGGCAGAGCTCAAGTACTGCACATTGCACTTGAACAGAGGGTTTTCCTCCTTATCCATTTAACCACAGGACATAATGGCTTATCATTAGCATTAGCTGCTCTAGAGTTATTGCATTTAGGTAATTGTTGAAGGTAGCAGACACCAGGTATTTGAGTTCTTCTGGTTTTGCATGATTATGTGAACAGATTGCACTACCATCTGTTGTGGAAAGTGCCACGTTGACACTAAGTGACCATCACAAAATGCTAACCAGGTTCCAGTTACCAAAATTAGGTGTATTCAGTCTAACATAGTCACATTTACCAGTATATGTGGTAAATCCTCTCACCAGCACTAGAAGTTAACTCATGCCACAGAATTTATTCCTGAAAAACAGCTTGTAAAAGTGTTTGGTGGAGAAGCACAGGAAGTATTAAAAACACAAATACATTTGAACTAGTTCATACATGGTTACCTGAAATAGCACACATGTATTTCTAGTTTGTTTTCCATTGCAATATCAGGGCAGGATACCAACTGCTGCCAGCATTCCCTTTCTCTATGTATAGCCCACAGAATACTGAGCATCACTTGGATGTATGTTTAGACCACTTAGCTATCAATTCTACTTCAAGAAAAACTGCAGCAAATGACATATTGGAACTAGCAGAAATAAATGATAATTAAAGGGAAAGCTCACTTTTGAAGGGGAAATGGGCTTTTAAATTTGACTGCTATATCAATGGTCACTGCATTTCAGCCCAGTACCTAAAGGCAAGAGGGAATATTAAAAACAAATTGGTACTAGCAAAAAAGTTACAGTTAAATCTTGACCCCCAATGACATCAGTGGCAAAACTACTTATTTCAGCAGGGTCAGGATTTCAAGTAAGATGGGCAACTGTACCACTGACCATTAAAATCATTACATAGGTAGCAGCAATTAACATAAAACTGCTTTCATAGTAAAATATATTATTCTTACTTTCCCAAGTGTTAAAGTACAGGATGGGAGTAGGAACCATCAATAAACTGGCAGCTGTCATTACAAGTACGAATGGTGCTGGCAACTTCAGAAACCATGAATGACTACTCTGAAATGTGAGGAAAAAGTTATTTGTTTATTAATACATATTTAGTACAGATCCATTTTATAATGAATTACTGCAGTTTTTCTTTAATGCAATATCTGTACGTTCATGGCACGAACCTGGCTCAGTTGCTTTGGCTAGTCCCATAAGTTACTTCCTTAATTAACATGGGAGGTCTTTACTGGTGCCGATATCACATGCTGAGATGTATTCCTTGCCTGCAAGATTTCATTTAATATTGAGGTAACAGAATCGCATACCAGGCCATGTGAGAAGTCATTCTAGCTCTCCTGCTGTGATCCTGTCTCCACTGCAGCCAGGGAGGTCAGCCTATTTTATTAGTTAGTTTAGCCAGCTGAAAAAGGCTTATTCCTGCTCCGATTTTAATACATGCACATCCCCCCAAGCTGCTTCGAATGTGTTCACCTTCTACATTTACTTATTTGCAAACTGAGTCTATAGGAGAAGACACACAATTTATAAGGTTTGCTGCAGATTCTTAACATGTTTGCTTGTGCTTCTCTCCTGTTTTGGGTTGCACTGTAGCATGTTTTTACTCAGCTATGTGTAAATCAAGTTGTTTTGTGTTTCATTCTTTCTGTTGTAAAGAAAATCCTGCCCTGTATTCCTTGTGCATTGAGTACCAACATAAAAACTGCTTTTTAAGTAATAAAAATAAAAAATCTGTGGAGAATATTTTGGGAGAATTTCAAATACTCATGAGTATCATGTAAACACCAGTTCTAGCATCTCACACCATGTGGAAGAGGTGGCTTCTCTCATCAAGAGTGATTATTAGTCAGGCAGGTTAAGAAAACCCTCCTATGCCCCAAGCATTTAATATCATTATTCAGACAAAAAATAAGACGGAGAACAAGGCAGGATTTGTGCTTCAAGTAAGTGTTCTTTATCTGATGCAGCAAACATTAGGCTGGCAGGCTTCTGGTCTCTAAGCAGCACTTCACAGATGGTTAGAGAGCGAGAAGAAAACAGCAGCACAAACTGTCCCAAGTCAGAGCTCTTTGTGAAACAGCCGGCAGTTCTAGGTGGTGCAGCATAACTTCCTACAGAGATCTTGAAGTGAATCAGCTGTTGTGGTCAAGACACCATTGTGCACACACAATCTCACCATAATTGTAGAGATCTCCTGCAGCTAGAAAGCAAGCTCAGGAACTAAAATTTAAAAACCCATCAAAAAAAAAGAAGTGGCAGTCACATGAATGTGCGACGAATGTCCATCGGGCGGCCTCGGGTGGGTCTAGGGGGAAATCTGTCATTGGGACCCGCTCGTCCTGGAAGTGTTGGATTTGGCGCTGGCAGCAACCCGACTGGATCAAAACGTGGTCTGAATGGAGGAAACCGGCCCGGCGCCTCCCCTGTGCCAGGAATGAGTGAGTTAATTGGGTCTCCAATATACGGAAGCGTTGGTCTCTGGTCATATTCACCACCAATGATCATTGGAGGGTAGATAGGGTTAGGGGAGAAAGGGTTGGGAGGGAAGGGGTTAGGATAGAAGGGGCTGGGGTGGAACGGGATAGGATGTGGTGGAGGAGGCAGAAACATCATGTGCCGCCATCTCAGGGCTTCCTTTTTCTGCTTTAGTTTCTTCTTGTAAAGCTGCAAAAAGATAGAAAAAGGATTTCAAATTCTACTAGTGCTTGCCCATCTAGCTTCACTCAAAGAGTTTCCCTATGAACCTATCAAAGGTGTCAGGAGCAAAACAGAGTTCACTATCCGGTTTTCACTGCACATACATAAATAAAGGGGTTAGCCAACATGCCTATTATTTAAACTACAGGACTGCTCCGATTCAAGCTGATGGTCCTGATGAGCCAGAAGATCTTCCTGTAGCAAGTGTGTTGAGTAGGTTTCTCCACAGACTCCCATCCAGATTAGCCTGCAACCCTACATGTATGCATATGTTAAAATTTTGGCATAGCACCATTGAAATATTTCAGGTTACACCAAAAATAAATTTGGCATTTAAGTGATCTAAAACTGCCAAACAAAACGAACTATATGAAATACAGAGACAAAGGTCATATATATTACACCCACTGATAGTTACTTACAACTAAGGTACTAACACTTTTTTACTTGATGATCTTTAAAGTTTGTAGAGTTATACACATTTTAGTGACAGGAAAAAGAGGCAAAGTAGCTTGCCCAAGTTGACAGAGAAAGCCCCTTACGCCTCATTTCTTGCTGTAGTCACTAAAGGACACTGCCCCTGTAGCTAAAAGGCTCAGCTGAGAATGGCAAGATTCACTTCTTAATAGGGATGCAGTGTTTAAAACTCAGTCACTAAAGGTTATGTCTACACAGCAGTTTAGTGGCAGAAAGACATGCCTTGAGTTCTAGAGTACAATGAAATCCTCCTTCACAAGCCCTGATTCCCAAAACAACCACCATCCCTCCTTCCAAGAACTGAATGAAACCTCCTGCAGAGACCCTGAAACCTACTCTTGAGACTTGGCCATAGCACTCAGTGACACAACAGATTCGTCCCTACTCCAATAGATTGTGCTGCACATGCAAAGACCTCACTACCTCTGCCACATCTGACCCTTCAAGCCTGTCATTCATTTTTAAGCTCATATAGACACATCCCGGAAGTTATATGTAAAAAATAAATCAATAGCAACCTACTTCTTTCCAGTCTGTGTCACGAGGCCTGGCAATAGGATCTGTTAAGGAAAGGGATAAGAGTCAAGAGATTTACGTTAAAAATAAATAAATAAAACCACATTCATGACTGAGCAGATAGATTTGGCTTTTAACTTTGTGGGGCTCTATAGAGGAGTTAGATCAGCCCCCACACTTCCATATAAAAAAAACGATGATTTTCTGGAGTTGTTGGAATTTCCATAAAATGTACAGGCATTCACTATACAGTCTATTTGTTCTCTCTGTTCCACATCAAATATCTATTCGTGAAGTACAAAAATCCCCAAAATACTGTCATTGACAGTTTTAGACTTGTGACAGAACTTTGCCACTCAATCCCAACTACCTGGTTTCTTACATAAGCTCCTGGGAAGGATTCTGACAAAGGGTCTCTCCCCCCATCCTGTTACCTTTGCAATAAAGAACCTGGGTAGCTATAGAAACAACTGAAAACAAGGAGTTAGCACCATGTGATAGGTAGTTCTCTGTGGTCCATCACCAAGTGCTTGGCAGACCATCTTATTTCCTTCAGTCTAAGAACCACCAAAAGAAGCATCCAACTGTATTATGCCTCCAAGTGACTGACATTGGCTAGTATCTTGAATAATTAAATTCACTTTCCATTTAAGGCACAAAAGTAGGTACCTGAGGAACCCCTTGTCAGACTGTGCTTTAAAAGAACCTGTGAGTGGCAGCTTTGACCTTGTTCACATGGACACATACATAATTAGGAGAAAGGGGACACGTAAGAAATACCTCGGAAATCCCGCAGGTATATAAATCTCCACAAAAGCTGGTCATTTGAAGCTGTGTAGAGGTCACGGCAAACAGCAGACAGAGAGATGAGAGTACGGATGTCTAGCAGTCTGAAAATCCGTAGCTTCAGCTCAAGAGGAAGGACCACTAAGCCAAACACATCTGGCAGGTTCAAAGCTGGAGTAGTGACAGAAAACAGGAGCATCATTTGCAATGCCTGAATCTTCCCTGTTCCCAAAGGTTCCTTCTCATTTTTTGAAAATTATGATGGCTTTTGCTCAATTCATTTTTTTCATGGAGTTTTCAGATACATAAGTTACTTAAAGAAGTGCTGTTATGCGACTGAAGAAGGATCCATTCTGCACATGCAGTCAACAAAATGTAAATACAGCACTGGCACGTCCTTGCTGCACACCACTGTCCGTCATAACTCCAAGAAATGCCTAGAGATGCTAACTCATGTTTAAAGGGTACAGAAGAGAAATGGATTGGAAAAGATAATAGCAATACTTTTTAATTCCACTAATTCACATAAGACAGTCATTCGTTCCTGTAAAAACCAAAATGAAATTGCAAAGAATCCAATTGGGTGAGTTTACACTTTGATGAAAACCTCGGTGATAAAGCTGAGATATATTATAGCAGTTCCTAAGTAAAATATCCTTTATTATAACTACACAAGCATCAAGTCAGGTTGCCTTCACACCAAGAATATCACTCCTAAAGTTAGCACTACATCTTGTGTTCTATACAACTTTTCCCTTATTAAAAGGTACAGATCAACAGAACAGGGCTCCAGCAAAGTTAACACTTTGATGATGACAAGGTAATAGCCTGCACCATACATGGAAAATTATTTTTCTGGCTCTATCAGCAACAGAATAAAATTTCATCTTATTATGCGACAACTGAATGTTCTTTTTATCTTAACTTTTACTGGTAGTTTCAGATTTTAATCATGTTACTAACATTTCTCTGAAGGAGAAGATGATGTTAATTTAAATATCTTTAGAAGCTAGTAAATTTCTCTAGCTTTGCTCTATGTAGCTATCACTAAATAGTTATTTGGGACTCCTCCCATTTATACCCCAGCACACAATAATATGCCAACTCCTTTTTCTAGATCAGTGATCTCAACCAGGGTAGTGCCAGATCTTTTGAAGGGTGACATGACATAAGCCGATAAGCTAAGCTGATAAGCCAGGCTCAGGCTTGTCCCTGCCTGGACAAACCCCCACCCCTACTGCCCAGCCCCTGTATAAGGGAGGTAAACACTGTAATATATAAATTGTTGTTTGAAATTGAGTGCTACTCAGTTTACAACAATTATGGAGGGGTGCCTCGAGTCCAGAAAGGTTGAGAACCACTGTTCTAGACGTTCTCATTCACCTTGTCGGGCAGCAGCCAGAAGAGGGTACACCAGCTGGTCTTTAAAGAGGCGGGATAGTTTCTGAAGATCTCTGTATACCCCTGCAGCATTTCCTGTCAAAATAAAAAGAAGGGAAGAATTCAACATTAGTAAGTTACTGCAAGAGAACCAGGCAAAGGCTTATGGATATAGTTTGGGTCATCACCTTAAAAAAGAAAAAAGAATGGATGCGTAGTTCTAAAGACTCAGAAGTTCCTTAGCAGGTAACAATACAGGCACAAAATAACAACACAATGAGAGTACTGATGGACCAAGAAACTTGTATTTATGTGGAAGTAGCCAGTGCTTTCTATTTGCATTTGAGGGCACAAGAAAATATTTGGATAGTTTAGAACAAATGTGCTCCCGTGCTCTTCTGCCAGATTCCAGGCACAGAAAAGATATACACCTGAGATGCAGGCCCCTACTCAGCAAGTTCTGACATGAGTGGTTGCCTATTGTCTGCAGCAAGCAGCCAAATGCTGTGATCTTGGATACACTTCACTGCTTAGCTGTCCTTTTATAGCCTTTCCAATAGAGTCTTGTTGTATCAGTAACTACCCAGGATACAGCACAGCACAGCAAACTGAAGCTACTGGCAACAAAGCAGTCATACATACTGTACAGAACAAAAGAGCAGTCAGGTCTGTGCCGATATAAAAATCCAGATTTCTTTCCAATCAGATTTTGGCATCCTGGAGTGATAAGTAATCAGCACATACTTTCCACTAAGAACAACATGTTTAAGATAACTGTAGTGCCATAAAACAAGACAGAGTTAATGTTACTCACCCTGAACCCTCAACTATCACAGAGAGAAAACAATAAAAAGAGCATGTCCTGGATAGTTCCTTGCTGCTGCCTTAGTGACATTATACACATCCATTCTATAGAAACAGGAGCCCCACGAACAATGGACACATACCCAAGAAGGGGACCCAGGGCATCTCCAGGTTTTTCCCTTCCATAGATCATCATGGAAACTCAAGTCACCTTAACAGCAAAATTCTCAGTAAGTGGCTACATTCTCTTTTTCCCCTCAAAATCATGGCCCGCTACCAGCTGACCTATTGGTTATCCACTTTCTTTATCACCACCTTTGGCAACTCACTCCTCTTTCAAATTTCTGCTTTATTAACTGCTTCCTTCCCTCACATTTCAGCCTGCTATCTCAAAAAAAACATGGTTAGCATCATACCTGGTTCCTGAAAGCAAATGAATGATGATGGCAACAGCTGTATTCTCTTCACACTTTTAATTTCTTTGTTGATTTTTAAAGTTGCTGTAAATAAAAAAAAACACATTTAGAGATGACCAAGACCAAGCTCATCACTATCTTATCTTTGGAGACATCTTTAGTTTTAGCTCCCCTAACCATTCTCCGTTTGAGGCCAAGGGGAGGTGAGAATTGGACAGATCCAACATTGCCAAGCAGATAACCAACTGCTTTACAAAAGAGAGGCAGCTAGAATAGCACAGAAGAGAAAGATCTTTATAACCGCAGACCAGTGCTACAACAATTTATCAACTAAAGGAGGTAGCAATGGTACAGTGTACCACATTAAAAGAAAGATTACCCCATATTTTAAACCCTAACAAGCAATCACTGATCCTATTTGTTAGATGAACACTCTATACAGGAAACCCTCACTATTTGCGGGTTCGGCATTCATGGTTTCAAATATTAGCGAATGCCGAACCAGTTTCTTAAATACACTTAAAGGAGCTCCTCAGGATCTCCGCACTTGCTGCTGTGGGCTCCCACCACCACTGCTGGGCTCCAGCCAGAACAGCCGTGCCCCCCCAGCCACCGGGGGCACTGCATTCATGAACACAGACTGCATTCAAGAACAGTGCCTTATTCGTGGGGGATACGAGAACATATCCCCCGCGAATGGCAAGGGTCGCCTATACAAGGTAGTTCCTGCATTGTTGTAAATCCTAGTGAGCAGTACTACTGACTGGTCAAACATTTAGGATATAATCTTGGAGAACAGGTGAATGTAACTTGAACTGTGTTATATATTGTGCATATTGTCACAGCTTTTTTTTTTTTTAAATATATTTCTTAAAGAACTGAACCTTTGTATTCTCAGACATAAACCAAGGTCAAAATTAACACCAACTCTGCTAAATGAAACGTTATGCATAAAAGAAATCTCTAAATGATATAGAAGTCAGTTTAAGAGAAAGGAATTCCATTAGTTTTCTGTAGTGAATACTGGTAGTTCTAATGAGCTGAAGATATGGGACCATTCTTAAAGGCATTCTTAAAGCAATTTATGAGAGAAACATGGCAAAGGAATAATTTTGGAATCTGTCACCAAACTTCACAAATACCAAGGGATAGGATAAATAAAGTACAGCTATACAGAGCCGCCCTAGTTAATTTAATGCCTTGCACTACACTGCAAAGTTCTCAGGGGATGAAAGGAGGAGCTGATCAAAAAAAAGACTGTCAGCTACTCAAAAGGCTACCTGCATAGAAAAGCAGTGTATTGAAAGGAGGGAGACAATGAACTAACACAATGGCAAGAAGGGACAAGAACATTAAATATCAAGAGGAAGCAGCTCTTTTAGTTTATCTGCCCAGTGGGTTAAGTCGGAGCACTAAAGGGACTCAAAAACAATGTTTCAGAAGGATGGTAGTTGTGATGTAGCACCACCAAAAGGGAGAAACGGATGTATGTGCACAGGATGATGATTCCAAGGGGGAAAATGAATGAAGTGGCCTCTTGTAACAGCACGCATGGAGGGTGTAAACATGCAAAGTCAAAGGCAAGAACGATTTCTATGTTCTAACTAAATTACCATTTATGACAATAAGATCTCCCAAAGGCACACAAGTCAAACCAGCAGAGCCATCTTCACATAATGGGTGAGTGTACTGTAGTTTATAGACACCACCGGCTCTCCATTTCTCAGGCATCGACACTGCTTTTGCTTCAGTTCCCTGTGAATTAAAAACAAAGCAAAACATAAAGATAACTAACTGCGTTCCTGAGCAATCTGGTCAAGGCTGAGGGGAAAAAAAAAACCAAACCCTAAAGCATCTCCAAAAACCTCAAGGAGTATGCACTCAACAGCATAATTAATTTGCAACTTCTACGTAAAAACCAGAGACGATGCACATAGTGGTAATGGAGTATAAAGAATTTATCACAACAAGCCTGGTCTAGGCATGTTATCATGCTTACAGTTTTACCATTTATGCATACATAAGACATACTGATAAACACATCAATGAAGATGCACATTAAAACTATTCCAAGGGAAGACTGTTGAGACAATTGTTATTCTTCTGTCGGAAAAAGCAAGTGCACTACTTTTCATTAATCCTAATTTACACACGTGTATGTGCACATACACACACTTTGCCAAGCCCATTATTCAAAGCTGGGAAATGCCAGGTTAAGACTGCCTGTCCAATATGCTAGACAGGATGATCATGTACTATTTTTTTTTTTTTTTTTGCACAGAAACACTAACATCTCACCTAGAGAAAAATGGTGAAACACTGAGACCTTGGGCTCTATTCCAGGCTCTGGAGGGCAATGGACTATAGAGCAGGCTCCAATTCTTCTGCCCATTTCCATTTAACCTGGCCCCTTCCTCCATCTCCTCCCTGTACCAAGCCCAATTTTCTTCTGCAGGATTTGCATCATATTTCCACCTTCTCCACTGGCTCCTTTCCCAGTGTTTTGTTTGGTTTTTTTTTTTTTTTTTTTTTTTTTTTTTTTTTTTTTTTTTTTTTTTTTTTTTTTTTTTACACAGCTACCTAGCTACTTATCGGAGTATCTCCCTTTCCCCCCCCATCTCTTTGTGAACCTTCCCCACTGATTGTCAGTCCTAATCTGTTTGACCAACCAGCCCCAATCTTCTCCCGTGACTCCCAATCAATCTCTATACCCAAGGTAGTCTAGTCTCCCTCTCACCCCAGTTCCCCCTGTCCTCCCTCCTGCCAACCTTCAGTTCCAATATAGCTCTTTGTCCCAATCTACTTCCCCCAAAGGTTCAAGGGAATTCCTGTTTAGCTCTGCACTGCAGCATGCCCAGTGTTGACGGAACCTGGAGGGAATCTACCTATTCAGATAAGGTCTCTACTGAGTGAACCACAACTTTTTAAACACTCTCACTTGGCCAAATTTGGGCAGATTTTCACAAAAGGCCACAGAGTCCCCCACTCTGGGCAACTTCAGGTCCCCTTCTCTGAAGTTTGTGGGTGCTAGAGCTTTTCAAAGAAAAAGTAATGAGTATTTAAAGTGGCAGAACAATATATTTCTCTCTAGCCACTCTCAGACCTGGCCAAACCATTCTGACTGGAATTACTAAAATAAAGAATTAAATAAAGCAGCTTAGAAAATTCCAGCCTATGTGGTTAGGTTTGGGTAACGTAATACAAAACCGAATGGGCCTTAGAATAGGAAAGCTCAGCCAGTCTAATAAAGGAAGTTACCAACCCCACCTATAATATCCAAACTTTTTTTCACTAAGTCCTGAGCTTCTACTAGTCAAAAACAAGTATGTTTGAATATCCTCCCCCGAGTATGCGAATGTTAGAAATCATAGGTATGTATTTATAAAATGGATCAAATCAGGCAATATTAAAACTAGCTAAAAAGAATTCCTAAATGTATCTATCTGAATCAATTATGCAAACATAGTTATATTTTTGTGCGGCCCTAAGAAAGCCAGGACTTTCAGAATCCTACACTAGAATGAAAAAAAAAAATGGAGTCTCCACTCAGACTTCAAAAAGAGTCTCCATTTCATCAAGGGAACCCTAATTTAATCTCACACAGGAAGTATACAACAATTTTGAATACAGCTGGACTATGTTTATTTCCTCGTAATTTTGTGCTACAAGCTTCCATTTCCTATATCCAAGCCTACTGGCTGACATGGACAGTTCACAATGGCTATGACTACAATGTTTTACAGTATCTTAACATTAGGGACAAAAGGAGGTGTATAGGATTACCATATGCAGAGATAAGGAGATTTAGACATCTAACTCCCCAACACACACTTAAATCAATGGGTGTCAGACCCCCTAAACTAGGCAGGTAGTTATATTTGTTGATATGAGCCCTTTAAACTACATTAATTCCCATCCGAGTTGTGAACAAGTGCAACAATGAAATGGTGGGACAAGCAGATGCCCGTTCCTATGAACCCTGTTCCCGGTTGATATGCAGTGTTAGTTTGAAAGGTATACTTTTCTTATGAGGAAGCTGGTGGGAAGGTGGAGCACACACCAACACATGGTTACTTGAAGAAAAACCAACATAAATGCACACAGACTCTACTTCTAAAGTTAAAGCTAAGCATCATCCCTCTACATACAAGTTAAGTAGACAACACCCTCCTACTTTAGTCCAGCAGAAGAGCCAAGAGTTGAATAGAAGGCTGTACTGCTCTTTCTACTTTAACGTACACCAGCAAGATAAACTAAGAAAGCTAGTACTTCAGATGCCCATAGCTGCTCATACAGGTGGAAACAAGCAGCAGAAGATCTTGGAGGACAAGACAAATAAAAAAGTTGTTATATTCCTGACAAGTCCACAGGATTTCTCTTGCTGAGTAAGAAGCTTCTCTTTCAGTTCTGTACTTACCTGAGGTACATATCCTGTCTCCATCATGAGAACATGTACCAGAACAATCAAGGCATCAATAGCACTGGTACATTCAGCAGAATGGTAGAGAGTCTCCAAGGAATGTGGCACTTCCCCGTCCACAGCTTCACTGCACAGCATTGGTTCAGAGGGATAGGAACCGGTGCCTTCCTCCAGTTCCACATCATCTGGGACTAGCCCAGAGGCAAACTCTAGGCTGGGTCCTGCCTTAAAGGGACAAATAAAAAAATAAAAATAAAAAAAAAAAAAATAATCAACACAAAATTCAAGAAGTAATCCTTGCACATGCATTACACTTACAAAAATATCCTCTAGTTTCTCCATCTTTGATGGTACTGGATTCCATTCTTGGCTCTACCAAAAACACCCTGTGTCAGTTATGCCAAGTCACTGATTCTTTGTGCCTCTGGTTCCCATTTGCAAAATGGGACCACCACCATGACTACTTCCTTTGATTTGTCTATTTCTAATGCAAACCCATCAGGGCAGGGTCTGACTTCATGGTGCATGATACTGTATGAACAATGGGCTTCCTGCCACTACCGTAATACAAAAAGATACTAAGCTACACAAGGTGCCTAAAGCAGCATACGGAGCACAAATCTACATCACAGGATATCATCCTTTAGTTAAACTCTCTCAAAATGACACGTCTAAGAATCTTTGTAACTGGAATAGGCCTAGAACCCTGGAAATAGTTTACCAAAGGAGCCTATCCCTCCAAAAGCCGTGCATGTTGGTGCCTTCACCTTGCTTTTCTTTGTTTTATGGCACTTAAGATCACTTGGAAACTTGCCTATGGTTTTTTCTTAAAATTTTGGGGGAAAAGCATACTTGAAGGTGGGGGGGAAGGAATTCTCTTTCATATGCATACAAAATAGAAATGAGTGCACAAATTAATATTTTAAAACTCACTGAAATAAGGAGCTTGACTTCTAAAGTATACTGTGGCTTTAGGCATCTCCCCCACATTTTTCCTGCATTTTAGAAGTTACTTCCTCACGTATTTATTTTGCATAATATTAAAGCAAACATATTAAGATGTATTTTTTCCAAGTTGAAGGCCACACAAAGGCTCTCCACATTCGCCATACTTCTTTACAATTCAGGATGGTTTGTGTTTAGTATTGGTCCCAACACATTAAGTTACTTGGTTTTAAAATTCCTTAAAAAGAAACATTCCTTAAAAAGAAAAGCTATAACCTCTAAGCTACAGGCCTTAGCATAACAGATGGAAATAGGAATCGCTCACTTTTCGAGTGCACATTACATCAGAGTGGCTAAGTTTGCTGGGAGAACCTCTCCTGATATTTGCTACAATTTGTTTTCACAGTAAAGGAGAGTCTATGGTGTAAGAAATACAACTCTAACACTCCTAAAAGGGGGTGCATATTCTTGTAGGAATCTAATGATTTGTAAAGGGCCCAGGTAACATGTGAAACACCCTGAAACCATTTAACTAACTTTTCTGGCATGGACAAACTTTAACAGATTATAAACTGGGACAAAGCACCAGGCTAATGCGTCATTGATCATACACCAAGCAAGCAGCGAGAATCACAATGCTTCAGGCTTATGCACAGCTAAGCGGTCTAGCAATCAACATTATAAACATGGCATATCATCATCTGTGCACCGCAGTCCTTACCATATCAATATCATCATTCTTCTCATCTTCGCTTGGAGCTTTATGGTCTTCAGATGGTCCATTCTGCCTGTTTTCTTCTGAACTGCTGATCTGACCTTGGCTGATGTTCAAGGTGGACGGTTCATGATTATTCTGGAGCTGGGGAGGAGGTGAAGACGAGTGTGGAGATAGGCTGGGTGCTGCATTGGTCTCTTCCAGTAACAAACATATCAAATCCCCTGAAACGATTCCATATGAAGCCAGGGTCTCCTGGTCTTCAGTAAGGGCATCTTTGTTGTTCAATGTTATTGCAAACTGGGTATCAGAACTGCAAAGACAGAAATAAACTGCTCGGACATGTGCACTAGCATCCCTTTAAATTATTCATTCCAACTACACAAAATATAGTAGTAGTAGTATTAAACTGCTTTGTTAAGCCTGAAACCCAGTCTCAATCAGCCCCATGCTAAAGGAAGTGCTGGAAAAATAAATGAGCATAATATAAATCTTTGACAGAGACTAACGTAAGTCCCTCTGTTTTTCTCTTTATGATACGTTTACCTAATGCACAGAAACTTACAAAGTCTGAGTACTTAGGAGTAGGTATGAGCGTGCCTGCTTTCCAAAAACTGCCTTAGTCTGCAATGTGCCCTTACAAAACAAATGCATCTGGAAGCCCTCCTAAAGTAACCTATCATCTTGGGCAAATCAAGGCAGAAGTCTTCCCTTTGTGGCCAGCTAACTTTTAAAACGACGGCCTAACAATCTAAGCCACCTCGCTTTCCAATTAAATCAATGCATTTGTTTCAAGAAGCCACATGCGACCTCTCACCTTCAATTACAAAGGCGACCTGTGGGCAAAGCTGTTTCAGTGCATGATTATGTTCTGATGGCACAAAAAGCCATCAGCAGATCCTGGTTTTCTCTGATAAAAAAAAAAAAAAATCCCCAGTTTTCAGTTTAAAAAAAAAAAAATGTAACCCCATATCCATTTTCCATGATCAAAATGAAACACCACTATATGATCACAGATGTACATCACTTGTGCACATATGATGAAATGTGTGTGTACGTATGTGTATGTACACGTGTGCATTTTGATCACAGAGAAATGTGGATTTTGGGTTAGTTTTCAGATTTTAAAAAGTGTCTTTTTTTTTTTTCAAATCAGAGAAAACCAGGCCATTACTTAATAGAAAAAGTTCCCTTCTTGGGTGAGTCCTATAGGAGGCTCTAAATACCATACTGCAATTAGGGTCCAGTGGACTGGTAGTGTACATGCATGCTAGCTGTGAAACACTTTACTTCAGTGTGGCAGACTGAATGGGTTTGCAGCAGAGGAGCAAGAGTTCATTGCTGTGGCTACTTTTCAACAGATTTCTCTGCAGGAAAGTTTAGAGATGAATGTGTCAAGATAAAATGTATTACATGAATGCAAAAAGCAATTCAGCCAAGGATTTGGGGGATGGGGGTGGGTGATATTTTATACTGGTTCCAGCGCATGACTGGGAAAACGTTTAGACAAGCTTTCAGGCACAAGAAAACTTGTCACAAAATCTCACCCAACCTTGCAGTGGGTCCAACAAGAGACATGACCCACTGCCCCCAGAAAAACCCTTGCCTTTTGAGTATTTCCTTGACCATCACAGCTACACCATCACTCCAGTACCCCTGAAAGGCTCTCCGGGCAGCACCCGGGGTGGGGGAGATCAACTGGTGGAGAAGCAGGGGGCTGAGCCTCTCTGAGCCCATGAGGGTGACGCTGGGGACAGAGACAGCCACAAACCCCTGCTGCGACAAGGGTGGTGGCAGCGTGGGGGTCAAGGCCCAAGGGACCTGCCGGGGGCGCCAGTGGGGGCCACAGCTCCACCCACTTCAGGGGGCCCCCAGAGCCAGGCCCCGCCCACAGCCCCAAGTCACGCAGCCAGGTGCCAGCACCCTCCCCTCCAGCAGCCTCGCCTTCGCCAGAGGGCGGGGGAAGAATCCATCGCGTGGCCGGGTCACGTGACCCGCCCCCTCAGCCCCAGGACTGCTCTCGGGCATCCCCGCAGCCCGCGGGGAGGGCTGTCCAGCGGACTGCCGGCGCCGCGGTCCGCCGAGGGGCTGGGGACATGGTACAGCCCGAGCGCCACGCCCCTCCCCCGGTGGTTGGGCCCGTACCTGTACCCCCACGCGGGCAGCACGGCCTGGCACAGGTGCGCGCGCAGCTCCCCCAGCGTTGGCTCCGCCCCCCCCACCTCGAGCGGAGCCGTCTGCTTCTGCAGCCGGGCGCGGAGCTTCATGGCGGCGGCGGCGCCTTCTCGCTCCTGCTTAAGGATCCAACCTGGCGGCGCCGACGCGGCAGCAGCTATTGCTGCTGCTGGGGGGTGTTGTTATTTGGGTTGGTGACGCCGCTTCCTCACTCCATGGGAGCCCCGCCCCGGCCTCGCCCCTAGGTCATGGGGCGCGCCCCCTGCTCCCTGCCCCACAGGTGACGTTGGGGATCGATGATTGGGCGATCCTCACAGGACCTGCGTCCTGCCAGCGCGCACGAACGCAGGTGGTGAGCAGGGCTGAAGTGCGCAGGCGCACATCGATGATCGGGTACTCGGCTAGCTCCCGCGCATGCGTCGCAGGCTCGAATCCAAGCGGAGGGGTGGGTGTGGGGGAGGGGCGTGACGCAGGATCTGCGCCCGCTCTGGGTAATTGTGGGAGGAGGCAGCGAGGTCCGGCCCTGGCCCCACCCCCCAAAGGGGCGCTAGGCGTGGCCGTTAACACCGTTGGAGGCCGCCCCGCAGGAGGCGGGGTGGGAAGGCATAGAGGACATGTAGTGCAACTTCTGAGGCAGGATGCTCCCTGTATAGGGCAACCCATGCAGAGCCCTTACTTGACCTGTTTGCAAAAGCATAGGGTGACCCCTGACATGTAGCAGCCAGGTGTGGTGCCTTGACCTGCCACACCAGAAGGGCCTGTGGCAAGTTTCTGGGTCCAGCCCCCTGCATCAAGCATGAAAGACAACTGGGGTCAGCTGACCCCAGCAAAGTGACGGTCCAGTCTCCTCTTGAAGATTTCCAGGGTAGGCATTTGCACCACCTGTGGAGGGAGTTCATTCTACACTCTGGACACTAGCTGTGAAGTAGTTTTTTGTTATGTTGAGCCTGAAATGGTCTTCCAGAAGTTTGTGACCATTACTCCTAGTTTTCCCCAAGCGTGCCCTGGTGAACAGTTGTCACCAAGCCCTTGATGTACTCCCCTGATGTAGTGGTAAGCTGCTACCAAGTCCCTTCTTCACCTTTTCTTTTTCAGGCTGAAAAGTCTCAGGTCCTTCAGCCTTTTCTCATATGACTTGCTGTGCAAGCCTGATCATGCGAGGGGCTCTTTTCTGGGCTCTCTCAAGCCTTACCGTGTCCTTGTTACAGTGCAGTACCCAGAACTGGATGCAGTACTCCAGCTGCGGTCTCACCAGCACCAAATAGGGTGGGAGAATCACTTCGTTGGTTTTGCTGGAGATGCACTGGTTGCTGCATGGTACTGGTCAGGTTGGCATCTCCAAGCCTGTAGATGTACAGGGGATTGTTCGTCCCCTGATGGAGCACTTTACGTTTCTCAATGCTGAACTTCATCTGGTTCTGATTTGCCAACTTGCCAGCTTGTCTAGGTCTGCCTGTATCTGCAGCCTATCTTCAAGTGTGACCATGCTTCCCCATAACTTGGTGTCATCCACAAACGTGGCTAGTGAGCTCTTCACCTCGCCACATCCAAGTCATTGATAAAGATGTTGAATAGCACTGGACCAAGCACCAATGCCTACAGGACACCACTAGCCACTTCCCACCAAGACAACACCAATCTGTTCAGTAGAACTCTGGGTCCTGCCCCGCAGCCAGTTTCCTACCCACCTGACTGTCGAGCAGTTAAGCCCACAGTCTTCCAATTTTCTTGCGAGAACATCGTGGGATACCAGATCGAAAGCTTTTTGGAAGTCAAGGTATATATTGTCAACCTTCCTCTCTCTTATCCAGGTGGTGAGTCACCTGATTGTAAAAGGAGATGAGGTTGGTAAGACAAGACTAGCCCGTGACAAAGCCATGCTGGCTGTCATTCAGAATCCTACCTTCTGCAAGCCTGTCGCACATAAACTCCTTAATGAATTTTTCCAGGATTTTCCCTGGAATAGAAGTTAGGCTAGTTGGCCTATAATTACCCAGGTCCTCCCTCCTCCCCTTCTCGAAGATGGGCACAACATTGGCCTTCTTCCAGTCCTTGGGGACCTCCCCAAAGTGGCATGAGTTCTGGAAGAGATTCACCAGGGGTTCTGTGATTTCCTCGGCCAGCTTCTTCAGCACTCTTGACTGAAGTTCATCCAGCCCTGCTGACTTATATACATCCAGTTTCTTTAACTGATCACACACCAGTTCAACGGCAATAGTAGGAAGGTGGTCATTTGAACCCTGCTCATTCTGTACCCTAGCTGGCATGATTTTCCCCTTGGCTTGGTGAAAGACCAAAGCAAAGTAGTTATTAGGGCGTTCAGTTTTCTCCCAAGTGCCGGTGACTAACTGTCCTGAGTTTTTGAGCAATGGCCCCACACTCCCATTCATTTTCCTCCTGTTCCCTACATACCTAAAGAAGGACTTCTTGTCCTTGATTCCCATTGATAATTTTAATTCAGTCACCACCTTAGCTTTTCTAATCTGATCCCTACAAGTGTGGGCCATTGCTATATAGTCCTCCTTTGGGAGCTAGTTCCTAGCTTCCATTGACTGTACACCTCTTTCTTCTTAAGAGGACCATGATTTCCCTATTCAGCCAAGAAGGCTTCCCAGCCCTTTTGCTATATTTCCTCCACATGGGAATGGATTTCCTTTGTACTTCAAAAATCATGTTCTTTAAGAACGACCACTGTTCATGCACTCCTTTCACCTTTGGTCCTGCAGCACATTCCCTTCTAGTGACCTGAGCTTGTTGAAGTTTGCATTTTTGAAGTCCAAAACTTCAAGCCTAGTATCAGATTTGTCTGCCTTGTGATGGACCATGAATGAAATGGATTCATGGTTGCTATCACCCAGGCTGCCTTCTATATTTAAGTTGGTCACTAGGTCGTCTCCTTTGGCCAGGATCAAGTCTAAAAGAGCGTTACCTCTGGTTCGTCTGTGCACCTCCTGAGTCAGAAAAAGTGTTTCAGTGAAGGTCTGGAAAGAACGCGACTGATCCGTCTTGGTTGAGTGTTCCTCCCAAGAGACGTCTATATAATTGAAGTCGCCCATGACAACCACGTCCCATGCCCACGCAGCCTCTGTTAGTTCTCGGGTGAACTCTAGAACAAGTTTCTTGCTTTGATTTGGTGGTCCGTAGTATACACCTACAGTTAGATCTCTCTCGCTTCACTCCCCTCCCCACCCCCCACCTCCCCACACACACACACACTCCCCACAGCTTGATCTGGAGGGTTTCAAGTCATTCATCTTTGGAGCCGATGTCCGCCTCCAAGGAAATGTACTGCTCCTACACATAGAGAGCTACACCACCTTTTTTCCCTACTCGGTCCTTTCTATGCAGGGTATAGCCCTTTATGGCTATGCTCCAATTGTGCGTGGAGTCCCACCAGGTCTCCGTAATCCCTACTAGATCGTAATGGCCACTGGACAGCAGGAGGGCTAGTTCCTCCTGCATGTTCCCCATGCTCCTGGCATTAGTGTACAGGCACCTGAGTCCTCCTACTGAGGCCCTCAATTTCCTGTCATGCTGAAGGAGAACTATTCCCTCAACTCCCACAAGAATGGCCCTCCTGGTGTCCCTATCTATGGAGCTTCCTTGTATGTCGGTCCCCGGGCATTCTCCAGTCAGTGTTTCCCTATCCCCCAGCAATCTTAGTTTAAAGCCCTATCAAGAATATCGGCCATCCTGACAGAGAACAGGGACGGACCTCTCCGCATGAGGTGGATGCCATCTCTTCCCAGGAGTCCTCTCTCCCTGAAGTGCGCGCTGTGGTCAAGGAAACCAAAGCCTTCTTGGTGGCACCATTGTTGGAGATGTTGGTTAATTTTCTCGATTCATCCTTCCCTCCCAGTACCATGGCCTGCAATGGGGAGCACAAAGGAAAAGACTACCTGATTCTCTGACCCCTTGAGCCCAACCCCCAGAGCCCTGTAGTCACTCATGACCCAGTCTGGATTACTCCTGGCCGTGTCATATGTTCCCACATGGATGAGGAGCATGGGGTAGTAGTCAGAGGGCCGGACAAGCCTGGGGATCCTCTCGGCAATATCTCGGATACGGGCCCCAGGGAGGCAGCAGACCTCACAGACTAAGGGTCCGGACAGTAGATGGGACCCTCAGTGCCCTGCAGGATGGAGTCCCCCACCACCACCACCTTGTGCCTCTTCCTGGGGGTGGCAGAACAGTGCTTATCTTCCTCCTCCTCCTCCTCCTTCTCCAGTGTCACCACGCATGGGAAGTTATGGTTGTGATAATGGTCATGTGTCTCTGAGGGAATGAACTCACTACAACCTGGTGCCTAAAAAATTAATTTCTGGCTGCCTACCAACACTCAAAGTGCAATGCAAGACACACAGGTACACAGACAGACTGTTCCATTCACGAAGCAATACAATGTAGACAGTATTTGGAGTACTACCAGGACTGAAGTAATTATGAACGTATCTCCATCAGTTTTAAAGCAGACAAACAACACAAAGTGGAGTTACTCCTAGCCCATGAAAGATTACTTACCATGACCCAATAATTAGGTTTTAAAACAGATTAAGTATGGAAGCAAGTTGCTTTAAGTTACTCAGGTGTAATACTTGCATGTAAACAAGCTCTAAAAGTAGGGGAAAGAAAGGGCAACCTTCAGTGTGTGTGGGCATTAGGAATGCATTTAGGAGGATGAGTTCTCCCAGCTTCAAGCCCATTTACCCTGAGTTGGGGAAGCGTTGACTTCTCTATCAGGCAGCTCCATGTCAGAGCTGTTAGACAAGGCTGTGTTCTTTGGGGTGACCTCTTTATGTCTCAGTTCCCTGACTGTCATACAGAGTGGGAAGAAGTAACTCCTCCCAGTGCTCAGAGGCACTGCATGTAAACTCTGTCGGCATATCTACTCATGCAATTACTGCACCTGAATTTTCTGCATAGAAAATTCAGGCTTATTAAACCACTAGGGGGAATGCCATACTGGATCTGGTATTGGCAACGGGGGATGACATGGTTGGGGACCTACAGATCGGTAGCCATCTGGGGGACAGTGATCACCTAATAATAGAGTTCACCATAAGACGTCGAGTGGGTAAGGTAACTAGTAGGGTGAAAGTGCTAGACTTTAGGAAAGCTGATTTCAATTAACTCAGGCGATTAGTCAAGGACGCACTGCAGAGTAGGACTTTTGAAGTGATGGGAGCCCAAGAAGGGTGGCTGTGCCTTAAGGAAATGATCCTTCGGGCACAAAGCAAGACGATCCCCGAGCAAGGCAAAAGGGGGAAAGGGGCCAGGAGGCTTCCCTGGCTGACCAGAGAAATCCAGGGCAGCCTAAGGGACAAAAGGGGAGCACATAAAAAGTGGAAACAGGGAGAGATCACCAAA